TCCGAGAATAAGGTATATAAGAGACTGCCGTTTGGTCCCAATAACCAAATGATGCACTAATTGGTGGCAAAACTGTGGATTCATTCTCAAATGACACCAATACTAAACCCTTTAATTTATTCGACAAATATTTACTATGATTTTGATTTGAATTTTCATTATTAATTTCAGATAAGAAAGTGGTTTTTTGAAATGCATTTGTGGGAGAATTCCAATACGAAGAAAACGATAATACATTTGATAAGCCATATATGAAAACATCGAAAACAGATGGACCCGTCTTGGAGGTGCTGAGGGCTGACTGCAATAGATTGCAACCCATCATAATTATGCGACTGTGAGAATTGAGTTGTGAGCAGTCAGGGATGCCAAAGATGCCACTATTAGGTCCTCCAAAAGTGATCAATTTGTCAATTTTGGGCACAACTGTGTCCAGACATGTGCCCCATAGGAGACCCCTCATGAGGAGAGCGCCCTGAGAACATCCCACTAATTCAATTCGTCCGCAATTGTGTCGCAATCGATGCAATGTATTATTTCTTATGTATTGACATAACTTTTCCAATTGAAAGGACATGGGCTTGAATGAGGACCAGTTGTAGTCATCGACACTATCGCTGCTTAATCCAACTTCGAGCACATCGTAAGTTTGGCTCAAATTGTTTTGTTTAAAAACTTTGCGCAAATCATCAGCAAAATGATGGGCCATTCCGTTGTTGATACTCTCGCCTCTGCCATGAAGTATAACTACACACGTATTCTCACAATAATTGTAATCAATTAATATATTTAAAATTATTGTTTGCAGTATAATTTCTAAATTATATCTCATTTCACGTTTAATTTTTATAAAGGATATATTCTGTCTATTATCTGAGGCTTACATTTAGATAAATTTTAATGAAATAAAAATATGCTATTTTACGACACGATTTCTATTGACAAAGCGACAAATGTTTAATCAGAATCAGATCCGTTAAGGAAACTATACTATTAATGATTTTTGTGTTAATTGAAAAAACTTTTTCACAATTGAAAATGTAAAGGGTTTCCAAAACAAACATGAAATA